TTTTAGAAAATTCTTTTTCTCATTTGTGAGACACCCACTTCTTCCTCAGTCTCTGCAGCTTCATGTTCTAAGCTCATTGTGTTCAAAAAAAGGTCATTATTTAATTGCACTGAAGAAATAAGTTTTTTTCTTGTTTTTATGTAACATAAAACCAACTTGTTTTCCCTCTGTATCTCACATTTCTAAGTTAGTTGCTTCTAATTAATTTGTAACACAGGTAATCTCATCCCAGTTGTATGGCTAGCAATAAGCTCAAAGTCCATTAATTTAATCATATTAATGACAAAGGATTTATTTAACACATGTGCATGCATGCATTTAAGATATATGTCCACACACTCGTATATACATATAGAAACACATTTGCTCATGGATCTTAGCTTCATTTTTAATACCAGACTATGCATATTAAATGCATAACAATTCATTTAATTTGTCACACTAGTGCATTTAGCAATATTCATAATGTCTTATTTAAATGTGCATCATTTTAACGGCCACAAGTGGTGTTCATATGGATCCAGTGCAGGACTGAGCCTCTTTATGGAGATTAAAAGCTGCAGAGTGATACCATGGCAGCCTTTTGTCAGAAAACTGACTACAATGGTAACGATGAACAAGTAACATCTACCTGCAGAATCCTGCCTTGTTCCTTGTAAATCCTCCTCACAAACTGTGGGACCTCGGACCCTTGCAATTAGTCAGTGACACAACTAAGGAATCATGGGTCCATTTAACATTTAGGTCACAACTTCAGCCACTGGCAAAAGACACTGCTTTTTCTATTTTAGTGACTGGGTATTTTGGTCACATTTTCAGAAAACTAATATGGGCAAAAGTTTGCGAACATTAAAGGCACATGTGCCTGAGGACACCACTGTGCAGGGACTGACTTGGTGGGGCAAGATAACCTCAGCTCTGTGATGCTTCTGCAGGGTGTGTCTCACATTCTAGGGACCTTAGTAAAAGCTGTCTCAGCGTGTCTGTGGCAAACAGCAACCACAACAGTCTCCAGAGTCCAGCAAGTGGGATAACAAGGATTTTGTATCACCAGTGTTCCACATGTGATATTAAAAAGGCTCATAGAAAGTATGGACATTAGTGAAGGCCTGTAAAAATAAATGTAGTAACTTTGAAACTTAAATTACTATGCCTTGATGCTTAACTTTATGGAGCCTGTTCTCCCCTGTCTGGCTGCTAACAGAGAAGTCTGCTCTTAGCTGTGTAGGCCAGGTCTATGCTGCAGATTTTTACTGGCACAGCTACATTGGGTGGAGATGAGGGAATTACACCCCAAATAAGGCTGGCAGTTCTGGCAAAAGTCCTGCTGTTAGTATAGTTCATCATGTTTGAGCAGATAGTACAAACATAATTAGAACAGGTCCTTTTGTGATACGAGCTCTGTATCCACCCGGAAGGCTTGCTCTCTCAGTGTTTTCTCATTTGCAGACAAGGACTATTCTGTGGTGTCAGGCAGGAGCTTATAAGCATTTTTTTAAAATTTTGTGTTATGAATCATTGCAGACCACCCAATAAAACCCACTATTCCAATAATTTTATTTCTATGTAAAAACAGGGATACTCCCAGAAGAAAGACGAGAAGTGATGCCAAGAAATAGCATACTAGCCCAAAGCAGTAATAACTCTGAGATAATACCTTCTGCATAGCTAAATGTCTTCATAACTTTATTCAGGTCTAAAAAACGAAACCAAACCAAATGAACAAAACAACAAAAACCAAATCAAATCACACCCCAACCCCCACCCCGCCCCGACTCCCCAGCCAAATAGAAAAACCTGAAGGAACAAGCTGTTTTCACCCTACTAAAATTTCTTTGATTCTCATTTTCATTACTATATTTTCAGCTGTTCCTATGGAAGCTGGTACAAAAAAGGGCAATTTTTATGTGGAAAATGAATTTCTTTCAGTCTGTTTGTCCTGAGAAGAAGCTTGACTAATTTATTTCTGTTGTCATTTATCTTCATAGTTCTCTGAAATGACTGCAGTTCCTACTGAGCTAAATATTTTCTGAGTCTCTAATGCATTTTTTTTTCAGACCTACCGTTTTATAGGTGAAATCTGGGCTGTTCAGCTATTTAACCATCTGTTATCATCCCAAATTAGATTCTTAAAATGCCTAGGTGCTGTCTCAGAAATGATAATGAGCATTTAAAATTCTCCTCCACAAATTCTGCTCCTTGCGGTCAAAGGATGTTATTATCAGCGGAAGTTGGGAAGCAAGTCCAAGCTATCTTTTGATTTGTGGGAATATAATTTACCATGCTGAACAGATGTCCACATACAATCTGCCCATCTGTCAAGGTTTATATTTACAAAGCCAAAGAGATTTCAGTGTAGATTCCTGTCTTACTCCAAATCATTCTGTGATGATATCTGTTGATTTTATTACTTGGTTTATCATCAGAAAAAAAAATAAAATTAAATCAGTTTGATTAATTCCTGATGGGAATTTTCAGGCTTCCTTTTACTCTTCTTGAACTTTCTGTAGTTGTCTTCTATTTCTCCCTTGCTGTCTTAACCCACACCTCTTGTCTTTTCTCACCTTTTCAATAACTGAGCAGACATACAGCAGGAGGGAAACGTTGGTATTGTCCAGGAGAAGGGCAGATATTAGTAACTGTTTCAGTATGCTGTTTTGCTTTGTTTCTCAGGCAATTGGAAGGGTCTGCATCATATTGTTTGAATTCCATAATCTCTTTTGATTAGATTTCTCTTTCTATTTTTTGTTTTTTTCTTTTCCCCAACTTCAAAGAAATATTATACTTGGAAGTTTTAGAGAGTCTCCCTTCCCAAGACAGTTCTGTCACATTCTCCTTACAGCGTTAGAACCTTGTGAGCCGCTTTCTGTGTCATTAGTTGCTGCATGTCAGGACCTGTAACAAAGGAGTTAGTTCAGCCAACAGTTATTTGGTGCTACAAAATTATTTCTGATGACTCACTCTGCTGAGAAATGCAGAGGGTATCCTACAGCAGCAAGGCACAGGTCAGGCAGGCAGCCTCCTTCAGCACTCACGACGCCAGTGGAGAAGGAAGATTATTTATTCAGAGGACAAAATCAAAGGACAGTCAAACTTAAGTTGCTTGTATTGCTGGCACTGAAGAAATGCTTCATAAAAATGTAATTTGAGTATATAAGTTGAGGCAATGCCAGGATGTTGGCCTGCAGGAAGGGATCTACATTGGGATCAGCTGGTTCCGTGGCTGGGCAGTGGCATGGCTGTGACAGCCGACAGGCAGGGGCTCAGGGCCAGCAAGAGCTGGTGGTACCCTCAGGGCTCTGGCAGGGAATACCTTCTGAGGAATCCATCTGTCAGTTTTATGTATTTAAGTGTTTAAAGGATTCACCTTAAAAAAAAAAAAAAGTATCCAGGGCATGGGAAGGAGAGGTGATCCAACAAGGTGACACTCCGAGATCAGTTCAAATATGAGATAGAATACTGCCCTAATAACATTACTGGGGAAGCCTTATGCTGTTATCTGCGTTCCCTTTCCAAACACAGGTTTGTCATAATATTTTATAAGGCAAGTTTTGCTTTAGAAGCCATTCACTATTTCGCATTCCAGCCTCGTTTTATCTTTTCCATCAGACACCAGCTATAATTAAGTTCACAGACTTAACATGAAAATCCTCATGGGAATCAAAACATTTCTACTTTATAGTCATGGACTGATTGTTATTTGAGGATCACACAGTGTTCTACCACTGATAATTAATCTTTCCAGGAGCTCTTTGACACAGCAAGAGCTATTTTTCAGGAAGAGTAACTAACGTGAAGAATGCCATGAAGACAGACAACACCTGTTAAGAAGAGAGGGCTGAGCTGAACCCGAAGCGCTGTCATGCTGGAGAACCTCTGATGGCCTTTCTCTGTTCCTCAGTTTCTCCACTTTAACAATGATGCCTTTCTTGGTGTGAAATGATCAAGACCACCAAGAAAAACACTTCATTGAAATGCTGGCTATTAAGCCATTTAGACTGGATAAGAAACAGACTCAGTAGAGCACATTAAAACATTTCTGCTTAGGGAAACCATGGCACGTCATGACTTTTTGTGGGTTTGTGCAGGCTGATGTTTTATTTGATGTGCGAACACAAGGACAATGAAGTTTCAGTCTAGGTGAAAACTAATGAATACATACTCTGCAAAAAGGTGCTCCATGAAGGCTGTGTATTAGCAGGAAAGTGGCAGATTCTTGAGAGTGGAAGGTAAAACTCACGTGAAGAACTGTGATTTTTCAGTTCAAAGTTTTATGCTCCTGTTTATACATTTTAAACACTTTCCAGGTTTATTTACCTGTGAACTTCAAAGGTCAGGATGCTAATTGCCCTACTGTGACATTTAATGACATCATCATGACATTTAATGGCAATCATCATTGTCACCTAACACAGAACAGGAAGGGTTCTTTTCTCCTCTTTCAGATTTTTTAAGTTACAGTGGAAAATATATTAAATAAACACCTTCCTATCTTTTATTGTTGGAACATGATATGGGAAGAATTTAGAAAAATAAAAAGGTTGATTTATGTTACAAGTGACCACAAAGCAGGCTTGCCAGTAAAAACTGCTCTCTGAAGCTGAGTTAGTAAAATAATAATGAAGATATTCAAATTCTCACCTAATGATTCTGATTTGCGAGTACTGTGCTGAATGCCACCCTCCACCATCTCCTGGCAATAGCCCTGGTGCCCCGTAACAGGCAACCTGTGCTCTTCAAAAGCATGTTTGCACAGAGGTTGAATATGGATAACATGAGGGAGCAGATTTGCTTTGTGCTACCTGAATGAATCCCTTCTTGGAATCCCATTCTGCACAGTCATTCAGGTCAACAGCTGATGGCTTGCCCTGAGCCTGCTCCTCTTCAGGTGCAGTTCATTTTTGCCTGTTACTGGTGTGCTGGCTCTGTCCAGAGCCTTCAGACACGGAGGTCATGCGAACCTGCCCACTGACACTTTCCTTCTATCACCTTCCTTCTAGGTCAACGTGATTTTGATTTGGCTGATGCTCTTGATCACCCAGGTAGGTCAATCTCCTATCCTTATCTTACCATGGCTTTTAGACACAGTAATAAACCTTAAATCCTTTTCCTCAAGAGCTGGAGTAAGAAGGGGCAAGTACCGAAGTTAAAGTTACACAGAATTGAGAAATGTTAGATTTCAATGTTCCTATCATAAAACTAAAATTTTCTTTATAAAACAAACAAACAAAAAAGGCTTTGAAAACATATCCCTTCATTTTTAACTTCTGCTTTGATAACGTAAATATTTATTGAATGCAACTCTCTAGATTTGGAGACACTTTCTTTTGATAAGGTGAGAAAGTTGAAGCTGTTAATCTTTATTGGCATGCCATTGTGTCCCACAGATGACATAATTACCAGGAAGCCTACAGTGATCAGAAGACCGACAAGGCCTGTGCTGAGTGAGTATTGAAGACAAATCATAACTGATTTTAGATATGTGGAAAATGTATCCCATGAGGTCCTCGATCATATTGCTAATGTATCAGAGCTCAGATCATTTATGTGGGTACTAGCTGCCTTCTGCTTGTAAAGTGGGTTTTGGACAATTAACAATTATATGTCTTTACTGTTTCCAGTAAGACTTTGGAGCATGACTGGCCACTGATGGCATTTTATTTCCTGAAGATTTTAACAGTTTTCCAATATGTACTGATCTCCCTGGGGAGTATTACAATGGGTAACTGTAGCTAAAAATGGGTAACTGTTTTTCTGCTTTATTTTCCATCTCTTCTTTTCACATAAATATTCATGATGCTTGATAACAGACTTGGAAAAGAATCAGCAAGTCTAGGGATGGTTCATAACACTATAATGTGGATTTGTTCTCATTCTAATATAGGTGTTTCAAGTAGGCTACTTGTATGATGCCCTAAGTCACTCTGTCCTCAGTCATGTTTAAAGGTAACCTGAGATGCCAATATCTACAGTGAAGCTGCTTCAGTAAGAGGAAAGGAATTTTATTTTTAGGTACTCCTAAATCTGTTAGAGATATAACCATCAGATGATTATCTCCCCTACCTGAATCTACTTCACCAATTCTTGGGAATGAAGAACTCCATGTTTTCCAGACCATTTTGGAATCTCTTTCAGCACTGAAAAGGATTGCAGAGATTTTAAAAGCAATTGAAACTGATCTAAAACATAACAAAAAGTGTTCAAAAATCAGTTACTGGATTTGGAAAATGCAAAAAGATGATACAAAAGTATGTCCTAGTATCTGCCTGATGCTTCATCTTAATCTTTGGTTTCCTTCTATGTCTCATTCAGCCAGTATCATTGAGAAATTAAGATGGCTGAGATGATGATTTTGGCTCAGCTGAGGCCAAGTACTATACAGGCCATGTCCTCCAGGCACCGCTTTGCATGCACCTCTGCCCAAGCTGAAGCTCTTCTGTAGGCACCTCACATTTAGTCTAGTAAAATTTGACACAAAATTAATGGAAGTTGATGTTTATTCACAAACTCTCTAAATAAGTTGATTTTACCCATTCACATTCATCCTGCCATTGATTTAATTTAGCCATATGCTCAAATCCACATACTCATGAGCATCAAGATATGTCTGCTTGGGTGTTCTGGTGAGAATCATGAGCAACATGGGACAAGGTGTACCAGCTACTCTATCCTTATCCTGTCTCTGTGGTTCTTCTTGATTGGAAATGACAGGCTAGTTTATGTACAGATCTTTTATAACCTTTAAGAGTCATCAGCTATTATGGAGATGTCCTTTGCCTCATAATTGTGCTGACTTCAGCGTGTCTGAACCTTAGGCCAGGCTACTGCCCACCGTCTGTTTTTTCTTGTTTGGGGTACACAGACTATGTATATAGTCCGATTTCTGGTGAGCAAAAAGGAGAAGTAGTGAAATGGGTGAAATGCTGCAACCTTCAGCTTTAGAGTGCCCGTCTGCTTTTCCTCTGCTGACAAGTCATCTGCGATGGCATCTTATCAGAGCACAGGCCTGTTGGTTTTGACAGAAACAACACAGTCCTCAACTTTACCGCTGGGAATGGTGACCTTTATTATCTGTTCTTTTAACCTTTTGCTCTGCTATTTTTCCTGTTCCCTACAGACACATATATTTACGTTTGTATTTTGATCATTCCAACCTTGGCATTTCTGCATAAATTTCTGCATGAACGCCCTAGAGTGGAACCCCGCATTTTAACTAAATCCTTCATCTTGATAATAATTTGAACCCACTTTGGAATTTATTGTTTCTTACAGATTGTTTCTTACAAATCTTAGCATTTGAGAGGTAAATGCATTTTTGAAATGCAGCTCAACACCTGACAAGAACAAACTGAGACAAGTAGTATGAACTCGATTATTTTCCTGCCAGATTTCCTGGTGACATCAAAGCTGAGTTGTTACACAAATGAGACTAGATACAGTTCAAAAGCAGCTTCGTGCTCCCTCTGGTTATAAAGAACACAAAGTGGCATTCTGCATGGTGATGCATTTGGTTTAATTTTAGAAATTCTGACAGAATTAAAATGAAAATATACATATATATATCATTGAGTATCTAATTTTCTGTAGCAATAAGATTCAGTATCAAAATTCAGGTAGATTTTGCTGTTCCTTTTCTTCTGTCTGCATTTTAGCACTCCAGAATTATAAGGAGCAAGAAAGGGAATCTTGGACTTATGGAATCTATTTAATGTATATCTGCCTATTACTCAGTGACCTTTCAGAGCTCACTTTCATTCCACACACACCCTAACACACCACCCACGTACTCATATTCACACCTGCACATTGGAAATTGAGTCCCTCTGGTTTTATGCATCTGCAGTTCATGGACAATTTGTTTATTGGATGGAAAATTCCATCCCAAGTACAGGGAGACACGGGGAAGAGGGAGTGGCAATAGCCTGTTGATTCACTGCACAACATGCACATGCAGATATTTAAGTATATTTTAAAACCTATATAGCTCAGCCAGAGAAAAACAGACCATCACCCAACCTCAGACAAGCACGTACGCTCGCTTGAAGCAAAAATTTTTCTGTCACCATGTCCCTTACATAAATTAGTTGATTCAATTCTCTCTCCCTAAGTAGGTTTAGTATGTCCCAGTATTTTATCTTGAAGTGGGTATTCAGTTTTTGCAGATCAACAAATTACACTTAAGCCAAACATGCATATATCAGTTTTAGCCACAGACATACATGTTAATAAATAAATATTTTTTTTTAAAAAAAATACATTTTAATATCTTAACATAACTAATTTTTAAAATGCATTTGCAAATATATTAAAGAGGTATTAATCTTGATTCCTTTATGGGTTTTATTCTGAGCTTATTTAAAAGAGGAATAAAGCTTTCATGTTTTGAGTAGAAAATACAGTATTTGTCAATTGCTGTGTGGGCACATATTAAAATGTCTAAAAGTTTTCAATTTGAGGGACTGACCTGAAAAAGTCATTTGTCAAACATTCAGTTTTACACTTTCTATTAAAACATCTCACTTCCCTGGAGAATTGTCTGTAACACTTCTCCACATATTCCTTCTTTTCGTTTTTAGACAATGATCTGCACTTGGGAGATGCTCTTGGTGGGGGTGAGTACTCTCTTCTCAAATATAATGGTTGGGTTTTTTCATAGTCTTTTTCTGAAGTCTGCCTAACTTGTGAAAAGAGATTTCAAGACTGTAGGAGGCACTGCAGTAGTGAGAGTCATGACAACTCATGTACATGCAGCCTCATGCCAGAGGCCATCATGCAGAGCCAGGACAGCAGGATGGGCTGTGTCTGGTTGCCACCCATGGGAGCTTGCAGGCTGGTCTACTTGCATGAGCTGGAGTCAGCTATGATTTGCGTCACCATGCCAGGCTACTACGGTCTTGGCCAGGGAGAGGAGGTTCTGCCATTCAACCATGATGGGTCAGCGTGGTCGCTCTCCTGATCCCAAGTCAGAAATGCAGGAAGGAAGTTTTCAGAGTGAGGACTGATGGGTATGATATAACTTTAACTTGAAGCAGTCAAGCTCTTGTAACCTGCTATCATTTCCAGGAATTTCTACAACATGCAGAACCAACCCAGGAAGTATTCATCGTGCTGAGCCGAGCTGTGCAGACAGATGAAATACTTGACTTTGGGAATTTTTGCACTAGATTTTTAGTGTGTTTAGAGGTATTCAAAGGATGTGAAGTACTCTAGAAAGGCTCTTATACACTGAAATGATCTAAAATGTAAATAGTATTGCATCAAAGCCTAAAATTCTATTTGATTCAAGACTACACAAAAGAAAAATTACTTCTCAGGCTGTTGCACAGAACTTTTGAATTATAACTCCACTTGCAGTGATCTGGTTTAGTTATGTTCCAGTCTTAGAGAATCACAATATTATTACATTATTCTTTACCATTTCTAAGGCTTTCTTCTTTTCTAGATTCCCCTGTGGCATTTCATGCCTGTGTTTGAATGACATGTTAGCCCACACTTTGTAAAGCTGTATCTAATTTTGTTTGTAATTCCCAGGTTTACACTGTCACTTCTTCCTGCCCTAACTAATTGTTCTATTCCTGCAAGTTTTTAATGGGTACTTTTATGAGAGGATGGGTTTAGTATGTTGGTTAAATTATTGGATGAAACTAATCTGCAGATCTTATTAATATCTGCTGATGGCACAGAGAAAACCTGTGGCTTCTCTGTTGGCTCTGCATAGCTGCACGACTGACACCGACAGTAACACGTCGTGCCGCCCAGCTGTCAGCATTAAGCAATGTTAGCACTTGCTGGAAATAGATTAAATGTTTTCCTTCAACATTTTTGTCAATCCTTCTCTCATTTTAATATTGAAAAGATTCCCTTTTCACTTTCTTATTTGTTTTAATAGCTGTCTCTTTGTTGATACAGTACTTGAGACTTTTTAAACTAGTGTCAAGGTCCTTTTCTTAATTCACCTGAAGACAACTTAGAAATAGGTATAAAATCTCAGGTTACTGTACTCTTTATTTTCAGCTCTAAGTTTTGCCTGTCCAACTGTCTAATGATATTACCTATCAATAGGTGACATCCCAAGACAACCTTTATACCCACCTCTTCCACCACGACCAGGAACCTATGGTAATTCTGGTAAGAATATTTTCTCCTAAGAAAATCTAGCCCTATGAACTGTTCAGAGCAGATATTTTGAATTGTATAATCTTTTATTTCTATATTATAGTTTTTATCATCCTGTCCCTCCATTTCCCTTTCGTAATCACTGTTCCTTACTTGGTGTTTTTCTGACTTTTATTGTTGGTACAATAAAGCTTTTCTGTCTGCTCAAAATGTGGGATGTTGACTCCAAAGTGGCATAAGACTAACACGCATCTTGTTTGCCTCTTCATTTTGAGCATGTATACACTGAACCATGCTAAGGTTCAGTTTTGACATCCAGTCACAAGGTGTGAATAAGCCAGTGTTCAAATCCATACTGAAACGTGCATATGAGATGGCCCCAGGGCATACAACAGGTGGAGATGTGGGTGTAAGCCTGTATTGCTCTTGAGCGTGGTCCCAGATACCTACTTAAATAAAGTGGAAGTGCCACGTCTCTCCCAGCTACAACCATGTACCCCATATTTACTTCTGGTATAATTGTAGTGGTGAACTGTGGACTGGTCCTTCTTTAGTCCTTCTGGAGTCTTTCTTGGAAAGGACCCACTGAGTTCCTGCTCCAGGAACCACTGGGATTTGAGATGTCCACATTATATGAGTATTTGTGCTACTGAGCGTCCATACTCATACATCCCACATGTGCCAACACAGCTGCAGAATGGGTAGACAGCAACAGTTTTAGTCCTCCAGCTTCCAGGTGAATTTTAATAGGTGACCATTTGGTGCAAGACACCTGACCCATCCATTATGTTGAAGCTGGGACTTCAAAGGTCCGTCACCCTTTCTTAGAACATTACAAAAAGACTGGTCAAGGGAGGTGAAGGAGTTGCTGTTGTTCAGACACTTTTACAATAGATATCCTAATCTTTATCTTGCAGGGGGTTTTGATGACTCCGATCTCCTTGATGGGAAGCCTTTACCACCTCACATAGCAGGTAGTATTTCCCATTTCTCCTTGCAGCTTCTCCCTAATACTTGTAACTTGTAGCCAGCTGGTTTTGCTTCCGCAGGAATTTGTGTGTCACTTAAGGTATAGGACAAGATTCTGCTATTTTAATTTAGATTAGTTATCCTTCTCCATAAACCGTGACTTTGAGCCTGAAGCTCAAACTTGAAACATTCCTAAACACTTTGTAGCATTCTGGCATATGCCAGCATCCTCCAGGATTTACCCCTTTGAATCAGCTAGGACAGTCCCAAAGCAAGGGGCTTCTGCTGAGAAATGAACCTACTTAGGTGCACTGGGCCTATGATCTTGACTTTAATTATGAATAAATAGTCTGATTGTCTGGCAGTAGAGAATAGCCAGAGTATACTGAGCTTCCACTTCCTATGAAAAGAGCTCAATGTAGACTGCTACATATAATTTTTATTTTAGAAGATAATATTCTTCTCAGAAAGCAAAGTGTCAGGAGGATGGACAGTTATTCCTCTGGCCAGCACAGCTGTCAATGAGAACTGGAATGGGAGCTCCTCTCTCACAGAGCTGCCAAGCCATCCCCTTTCACCTTCTGTACACAACCATGCTTTGCTGAGTAACGACTTTGCTCTCAAAACAAGATGAAAAACTTTTATTGATGAAACTTCTCCCTCTATTCCAGGAGAAGAAGGGCATCATTTCAATCAAGGAGGAAACACAGGTATAGTAAATAATTTATTCTATGTTTTTTTTTTCCAATCATAAAATTGTAAGAAAATATTAGCCTTATAAAAGGAGTACATATACTGACTTAGGCTTTAAGATACCATTTTCACACCAGCTGTAGTGTAACAGCATTTCTAGTCTTCTGCTTAATTCCATTTAATGAATTTCCAATGTTTCACCAAACAATTCCTGTAGTTTGGCAAAAGCACACTGTAATAGAGAATATGCTTAGGTCAAAACATTTCAGTGCCTCTGACAAAAATTCCTCTTTTTCCACAGATTCAGGATTAGTAGCTGGAGTTACATCTCCTTTAATTTCTGCTCTTGTAATATTAGTGGTTGGATCCATAGCAACCTACTCTGCTTACAAGAACAAGAAACTTTGTTTCAAACCACAAGGTAAGACCAAAGCACTTTCCCACCTTCCCAGCTGATTTAGTGCAGAAGTAGACAGGAATTTTACAAACAATTTCAGTGGGGGCAGAAATAGGTCAGCAATGAGGGTCACTGGTCTGTAGGTGATTCTGGTAATTAGTATTCTTCATCAAGGACAAGTATAGGAAGCAATAACATGCCCAGAAGATGAATGTACATCAACTTCTGAAGGAAATTACATGATATGAGTTCTCTGCCACTACAGAGGTGACTGACTGTCATGATGCTGTGTGAAAGCCAGCTTGTGTGGCCCTGATCAGCTTGCCTGGGGCACCCCATGTGCCCCCTGGCCAGGGCCCCCATTTGAGCTCTGGCCTGGGTGGGCCACCTGCCCCAGTCTCTGCCACATCCCCACACGCTTGCCCTAGCTGTGAGCCCAGATGGCTGCCTGGGTTTCCTGGCTTGGCCTTGGGCTGGTTGCCTTGTCTTCATCTGATAACAGCTGGCCCATCCGTGGGGCTCATTGACCATCTCCATTCCTCTGTGTTTGTCCACCACTGGGGTGGCAACAGGCCGGGCTCCCCTGCAGCTGCCCTCAGCTCCAAGTTCTTTGGGAACAGACCTGCCACAGCCCTTAGCTGCCGTGGAGGTCAATTTAACCTCTAACTACAATTATTTGTTCCATCATAGAACTACGGCAGGAGGTGTGTGGAGGAGATCTGGGATCCCCAGGCACTTCAGAAAGCCTCAGCCTAGGGGTGCCATGGCAGGCTCTGGGGCAGGTCCTGCTTCCCAGGCTCCAGGGGAGGCTTGGGCAGGGTTACACATGGGAGATCCAGCCCAGGACACCCCGGGGGTGGCTGGAGAGGGCCGTGAAGACAGTTTGTGCCCTCAGCATCCCAACAGTCCCTTATTCCTCACTGTTTCTGTGGCTGGGGTGTAACCAAAGCACCAGGCCAGTGGTCCCACAGCCATCTGGAAATGGGGAGTGAGACAAATGGGGAAGCTGTCTCTGTGTCTCTGGGGATAGGAAGTTCCACAATACTGCCCAAAAAAGACTACAGCAAAGAAGGACCTCTAAAGAGCATCTGTAGTGGAAATACTGAATGTTCAATCTTCATTTTTCAGGTAGGGCTACAGTGTAAACTGCTGAAAGAAGAGTTGCTCTCTGATCACAGGCTCCTTTGGATGGTGACATTCGGCCCACAGATTTGACAATTTATTTCTACTTTATCATTCTGACAAAAGGATCTCTTCCTCTAATAAACGTTTTGTTGAGGCACTGCAATCTTGCTCCCTTTTACCTGACGTCACCCTTGCATCTTGAGCTTTAAGTCATCAAAGATGTGCTTAAAACATCGGGGGATTGTATGGAACTCACTGACCTGAATTCATATGGGCTGGATATGCATTTTGATTCAGAAGTTATTTTAAACAACAAAGAAATCAAATATAATATAAGCTAAAAATGGAAAGATTTTGGTTTGTGAGCATTTGGGTCACTGAACAATTTTTTTGTTTCCTGTTTTCAAAACGAGCCAAAATATTTAACCCTTCTGACAGAATAGGTATAGGGAAATCGCCATTTCCATTCATATGTATTTGGTTTCTTCAGTATATTTCTGTATTGCTTATAATGTTTAAAGAAAACTTGAAGCTGTATAAAGGACTAAAAATTTTATTGCATTGACTTTGTATTTATGTCTGAATTCCAGAAAAGTAAAAGGACAAATAGAAGGAAAATTCATTTTGAATTTTAAAATGTAGCATGAAACGAATATATGCATTGGCGAACCACTGTTTAAAAATTAAAAATGAGAAGAATACATGCTGATTTTATTTATTTATTTATTTATTACAGACATGGTGTTTAGCTCTTCTCAGGAACTGGAATTTGATGTAAATTTTGTTTCTCTTCTTGAATACCTATGTCCTCTTCTAGGAGCCTTTAAAGACATTAATCTGGCAGGCTGTTTTTTATTTGTTTGCTTTTGTGGTTTTTTTTAACCATATTATTCATAATTTCTGTAAAGGGAAAACAGGTACAAATTTTTCAGAATAATTTAGAAAGAGTCTGTGACGTTTTGTTCTATAAAGTCTATGTCACAACAACTTTTAAACTTCATACATATGCAGAGGTAGGGTTGATACAGTTTTGCTAGCAAGGCTGTTTCATCTTCTTCCTTTCTTCTGATCAGTCTTGCTGTGCTAACAAATGTCCTTATGTAGACAACTCTATCCAGAAAAACTAACACTCTTCCTGTCTCTCTGACATCATTTAGCTAACTGCATCAAAATTCTAGCAAATGAGTGAAATGCAGGTGAAAGTTGGCAACACTAGTAGTTTACTGACACAATTCTGCAATACAGCTATTTTAGCTAACTCTTTAAAGCAGAGAGGAAATCTCTGTGGTTTTGTCTTCATCTTATATGCAAAGCATGTTTTTTCTTACTGAAATTCCATATAGATGGAGGTAAACATGGTTTTGTGTTTATTAAATTATTCAGAGAAAGACATGACTTGAAAAAATATTGTTTTCATAAAATAAACCACTATTTTATCTAAATTATATTTGAAATTGATATATATCAGCTGCTGAGGAGATTACCATAAACTTTGTTTTGATCCTGAAAGTAAGAAATTATAATGTACATTGGTTTAACCATAGAAACATCTTGACAACTCACAAATGAGTGAGCATCTTTGTAGCAATCAGTTTCAACTTATGAATGATAACATATTTTTAATATGGTTTGCAAGTACACTTGATATCTCTTTGAAAATACTATTTTGCCATGTTAATAGTTAAAATAAATTGATATCTATTTTGACAGATAGACATACATTTTTGATTGCTGAAATGTTAAAATGTTTTGCAGTCACCATTCTGTTTTTGTTTAACAATGAAAAAATATATTTTGCTTCTTTCTCTTGAAAATTTTCAATAAACACATACTGTGTTTTGTCTAAGGTGATCTGAGTTTTATTTCTTTTGTTTGTAACTTTCTGGGACATAATGCTGGCTGATACATTTTATATACAAACTTATCCATGTCCTTCTAGGGAAGACAAAAAAATGCTTCAAATCCACAACATTAAGGAAAAAATAGAAAACAGGGATGGCCTTTTTTTTTGTTTGTGGGGTTGGTTTGTTTGTTTGTTTGTTTTTGTTTGGTTGGTTGGTTTGGTTTGTTTGGTTTTTTTTTAGGTTTTGGGGTTTTTTTTTGAGCAGTGTCCAGAGAAGGATCTGTGTGCATTCTTGAGATTTTTGGTTTTGAAATATTATTGCTATTTATTTAAATTTTGATCATAGTATTTTCAAATTACTTTCTTTCTCAGTTGAAATTGATTGTATTAGTATCATTAGTCAAAAAACAGGTTTTATTACAAAGAATTTGAGAAAAAACATAAACTTGAATTAGCAACATACCTTACCTCCCCAGCCCTTCTGTATGTTTAACATTGTAAAGCTCTTTGTTCATCAACAAACATAGGCACACTTTTTAGTGTTAATTTTCCTTTTAATTAGGATGACAATGAAGATAATGATAATATTTCATTCTTATTAATATTGCAGGTAATTGGAGAACTCTGTAAGGAAGCTCTAAAGTATTTAAAACTGGAGGGGAAGGAAGGAATATAAGCTGGCTGTTAGACCATCAGAACTCTAGCTTGTATTATTGGCTGGACATTTTAAGTCTATACTACACAGTAAAAAATTTGCTGGTACACAAGTTAAACAGCAAATAACCTAAATGTAGATTTTGCTTTTATTACCATGAAAACGCTTTCAGTTATTTTTAAGTCCCCCAACTGAAATAGAACTACCAGAAAAAAATACCTACAAAACTATTTTGCTACTCTTCAGTATGTTGTTCAGTGGACCTGTCTATATAAGCAAATGATCAACTCATTTCCTGAGAATTTTGTTTCTGCAGGATAAATAAAGCTTAATTTCCCATCATGCATCTATATCTTTCCTTCCCTGAACACTTCTGACACTACTGGAGCAATGACACTCCCTTTTCCAGTGGGCCTTTAGGATACTCACAGTGCATGAGAGAAAAAATGCTGCAGCTTGGAGTGGCAACACTGATCTCTTGCAAAATGTTGGAAATAAAGGTTTAGTTTTTAAAGGTATGTCCATCTTCTTCGGTAGCAGAGTCTTAAATCGCGTACCTCTGCTAAGCAGCTACTGGTGCTCACAGAGCAGCTTGACACAAAGGTGCCTCTGCTGGACCAGGTCAGGCTAAAACCACCTTGCAGAGATACGCTGTATCTATGCGTGCACATGTGCGTGCATATGCGTGTGTGTGTGTGTGTGTGTGTGAAAAGATATACAGTGGTGTGACTAGCACAGGCTCTCTGAAAACATTTATTTCTCTGGGTGACAAGTTGTCAGACTGTGTGCACTCATAGGGTTTATGGTAGGCACCGCGTAGTCTCCCTTAACTTGCAGAAATTCGCATGTATCTGAGCTACTGTAAGCCATGCTGGAATCATTGTACTCCAGCTCTAACATCTTTTTTTCCACACTGTGTGATCTTCACCACTGAAGGTGTTGATGTTTTCCTCAAAGTGTTACATGGAACAAGGCCAAGTGCGAGGTCCTACACTGGGGTCAGGGCAACCGCCATTATCAGTACAGGCTGGGGAATGAAGGGATTGAGAGCAGCCCTGTGGAGAAGGACTTGGGGGTGCTGCTGGATGAAAAGCTGGATTTGGCCCAGCAATGTGTGCTTGCAGCCTAGAACACCAACCATATGCTGGGCTGCATCAAAAGAAGTGTGGCCAGCCAGAGGGAGGTGATTCTGCCCCTCTACTCTACTCTCATGAGACCCCCACTTGGAGTGCTGTGTTCAGCTCTGGAGTACGTCAGTACAAGAGAGCCATAGACCTTCTG